CGTAACAGACCATACGCCATTTTGTTTCATGATGGCGAAACAAGCAGACCAGTTAATTTTAGATGTTTTAGATGAAAATAATATAGAATTAAGCTTGACAACTTTAAAATTTTATTTCAAAGGGCTTTTGAAAAACCATGAACAGACATATGAATATATGATTTGTCGTATTGTTAGAAATAATGTGTTTGAAAATTTGTGTTTGGTATATGAAGAGTTGCGACCATTGCATTTTGGTAGAATTATGGCCTATTTGGCTTTAGTTTATAAAGTAAAGCATCATTGTGACCGTGAAACATTCTGTCAAGCTGTTCGAATAACTGTTGATTTTGATTCGTGTTGACAAATATCGATCGATTCGTTTATTTCTTTTGTAAATTTGGTGGTTCTTAAAAGAACCGTTTTTTTGTTTATTCTTTAAAGCTGTTTTTCTAACCAGACTGCAAACGCCTCCACTTCAACCTTAGCGCAGTGATTGTACGCATCGGCCACTAAATGATGCCCACAGGTCTCCAACCAACCAAGATCGTCAAAAAGACGTTCGGCTTTAGGGCAGCCAAAGCCTTCCAAATTTACGGCCGAAATACGGAGACTCGCAAGCAAGTCTTTCTCGTAATGTCCGCCTTTGTAGGCAATTGTAGAGGATGAATCTACGCGTGTTTTACGGTAGAAATCCTCTACAATTGCCTTCAAGTCCGAAATCGGAAAGGCTTTGGTGCCCCTCGGCACTCCGAATGGCAACTTGTGAATTTGCTTTTGCACGTAATTGCACGTTCGCCTCTCTTTTGCTGTTAGCGAGGTCCATGAACGCCAATGTCAAAAAAGAAGGACTTGGCTGTCACTTTTCCCACCTCAATCACACCAAGCTCTTTACATAAAAATTTCTTCTGAGACTCCAGGTAGAATCCATCCATGTCCACAATTCCGACAATGTTTTGTAACTTCATTCTGATTCCTGACTGACTGTTTGAAACGTATTGCAATTCACTCCGCTTTATACCCCACCCTTTCTCAAAGCGACTAGGTTGTATAGGCGCGGGAATCAAAAATCGCACGTGGTTAATCGGTCGTTAATTAACCTAATGACTAAATACATTGTCATCTTTCGAATAATCCTAATGTTTTAAGCTGGACCGCTCGGAGTTTACGCCGAGTTTGAAAGCCTTATCGAAATAGACAAGAGTCGAAACATCATATTTGACGCAAACTCATATAAAGGCGACTTTGGACAGAAAGCTGTAGCAAATAAAGTACTCATAAATCATGTAATAGTTAATATATTTGAATAAATAATTTGAATACATCAATTGCCTGGTTTCATAATATAATTATATACATTGCAGCACATTTATGGTGCTGCTATGAAACTTAAATATCTAAATACGTGGTGCTTACGCCGTCTCTAAGACTTTCCGTTTACCATGTATAAGTGAAAACCGAGTTTGCCCTGACACGAAAACCTCTGTTGATCGCGGAGCCTGTTACTTTGCTGCGAAGCACACGCAAATAGGTGTCCTTTTCGATCGCATTTGTATTCCTATTTACCCCCTTACAGCTATACTTAGACTTTGATGAATTGAAACAAAAATACATTTTACTACAGAGCCCAATGATACCATCCCCTTCGAACTCGGTCTTAAATAAACCCGGGGTGCGTTTGTCGAAAGCCCTGACTTCGTCGGAATAATCTCGCGGAAACCACGCGAATTTTTCCTGTTGGTATTCAGCTCGGAGTTCTGGTTTTACCACGGCGTCAATGCTCTCACCGGAAAGAGCGACGTATGCTGAGTCCGTATCCATTTCGCAGTACTCGAAATCTGAGCGATCCGGCAATGAATTTATCCATGAAATCATAATAAAATTCAAGCATACGAAGTTTTGCGTACTGGTAAACAAAAAAACCTATTTGAATTGGCAAATTCATGCTAATCGACTTTTTAGTTTTGCTTACTTCGTAAAAACCGTCATCTAGAATATCCAATTTTCGAAAATGGGGATCGTTAACCATTAAACCAATGTTTGATTCATCACAATACGTGATATCTAAATGTCTCTCCTTGTTAGTAAGCGTGCGACCATAACCGGAATTTCCGAACAGTTTCATCGTTTCGGCTATAATGGCAGTGGAAGGGTCACGATCTCCTTCCCTGCGTGCATTACTCACATCATCCGCAAAACTGGCGAAACAACTTTTTGGCGTATACTCAATAACTTGGTAAACTTTGGTTACTTTTAAACCATGTTTGAAATACCAACGTAAAAGAGGGGTGGTAAGAAAAATTTTATTGCCAAACATACTGCCAATTAAACCACGTCGCGGCTTTGTACTTAATTTGTTTTCTTTAACAAAGTTTTGCATGTGCTCGCCAATAGCCTCAAAAGGAATTTCGACGTTCTTAAAAATGGGTGACATCTCTGAAAATTTTTGTTTTTTGTCGTCCGGAACATGTATGTCGCATTCAACGACCCCAAAAATTTTATCGCTTTCTATCATTGAAAGTATCTCAGCCTCACACATTGCCGTTCGCACGTCTAAACCCTGCGTGTAATGTTTCAGGTCGTCGTTAGATTGTCGCATTTGTTTATACTCGCACTCCCAAATATCCACTACAGTATAACCGCGGTCTAGCAAATATCGTTTGCGTTCAATAGTTCGTTCATCTCATTGGGACCCCACACCTGTCGTTAAAAACATTTTGATTCATTTCGCACTGGTGACCGTGAAAATAACAGCCGTTAAATTCATAGATGGTTTTGTTTTCCGTCTCAAATCCGTCAACAAGATAACGACCTATTCTTTTCTCGCCCACATTGTGAGCGTGCTCGATATTAACACCGTCGCGGTTTGCTACAAAATCAAGCCATTCTATGCTTGCCTCTTTAAAAAATTCTTGTCTTTTAAAATTTTTTTCTGAACTACGTCTGGCGTAATGGCCATGCACATGGCATATCTTGGGCCAATGCCCAAAGGTACAAGGCGTTTGCGTCTGCCCCCCAAATCCGTTTACACGGCTTTCCGCCACGAATGAACGTTTTGTCTCTTTCATGGTAACGCTGAAAAATTATTGACGGACCACATACGATGTTGTTTTTAAAACTGTAGTAAAGGTCTTTGTCGCGTTCTTGAAAAAGGGAGAAGAAAGTGTTCGCTTCGAGCCTACTAAAAAGTACTTCATAACTAATCCGGGGACGGAAATACCATCCTTAAACAGATCTAGACCTCTGGGCTGGTAAAACTGAAACATTTTTTCGATAGCTTCAACAAAAGGTTCAACATCCAAATTGTTATACCACACTAAATAGTCTCGAAATGTCTGCATGTTTTCATTTTGCCAAACATTGAGGCTAAAAAATGCCGCATGCGGCGGCAGTTCCTCGACATCAAGTTTTTCGCAGGTGTCGAACCACTCATAAGGAAAGTACCCTTTCTGAGCAGTGCATTCGTACGCTTTCAAAAATTGAGCGTATGCGTATCCAGGAGCCAAATAATTACAAATATCAAGAAATTTAAGCCGGGGGGATTTCAAACACATGTATGCGTTATTTCGTTTAATTACATAGTCAAAGCCGCTTGTGTCGACGTTTTCCACGTCCAATTCTGCGCATTCAATCTCTTTAAACAGAAATTTTCTTATCACATTGATGTCGTAGCGAGATGAGTTAAAGCCTATGACGGGCATTTCCCTTAAATAATTATCCAGCTTTTTCCTTAACCTTAAGAGCTGTAGTTTTCCCTTTTCGTCCTCTTTTGGCAAATTTGCTATCATTGTGTCTAAATCTGAAAATACATTGTCGAATTTCTCGTTTAATAACCTATAATTTGTATCACTTATCTCGAAAATGTATTTCACAAAGTTACTGACAAGTGCCCCGGAGTCACCATCTGTAACAAAACAACGAGCGCTCTCATAACCCGGCACATTACTGGCAACCGAAATAGACGCTGGCACATGTTCGGCTTTCCACTGAAGTCTAGCATTCGATTGTGAGCGTGTATCATACTGAAAACTTTCAATGTCCCAGGTCGCAAAATAGGGGGAAAACGTATCATCGGTTTCGAATTGAAAGCCCATGCATGTCTTCCAATTCCTGAAAAACTGTTTTCGGCAGTTGGTATATTTTGCCCGGAAACTTATGCTTTACATTCACATTGCACGTTTTTTCATGAAGAAACAGTTTGTACGGCTTCGGAAAGATTTTGTCACATTTAGAACATACGAAACAGCTACTGTAACTTTCAATGTTGGCGATGAAACTAAAATGGTTCTCATGCAAGTTTATACGTGTATTGATGGAAAGTCTTTCACCGAACGTCGAATACAGATGGCATGATGCGAATCATCAATCGAGTACACATAAATGGATACGGAAAAAAGCTCCTCAATCACACCTAATTCCGCCAGGTCAACCCCGCAAAAATCCTCGCGAGCGAGGCTGGTCTCCTGGAGATATATCTCGAAGTAGGTTCTCGCCGCACGCTCTAAGCTGCTTTCGCCCTCCCCCTCATGCAAAGCCAGACACCTGAAAAGGCAGAGGTAATCGCGATAGGGCTCGCCGGTTTTTCTACTTTTTGTTAAACCTATGATTGACTCGTTATCGCAAATATAGGAAGGCAATTCGACCGGTTCCCCAGCCGGTACATTAAGCCTAGATACTATAACCTGTGCTTGAATTAAGCGATAAAAAACCCACCTGCTATTAGGTCGCTGGTTTCTAACCCATTCTAACACATCCAGGGTTCGTATTACTTCTATGAAATCCTTGAAAGAACGGTTATCATGAACCATCATTGGGGCATCTAATAAGTTATAAGTTCGTGTTATTAGAGGCGTAAAAAAATCTCATTTCTCCTGTTTCGATATTTCGTAACACAAAACTAAAATTTAGATTTATCTCAAACGCACTACGCTGTCGATGATAAATGGCGCGTAAGTTATCAATGAGCGTTTCAATCGTAAAAAAATCGTTAGTTCTAATGTTATACGTATCTTGCCTGTCGTGAAGATGGTCTTCAGCTTCTATGATCTCCCGATGTTGACTAAGAAGGGCTTCAAGTTGCTCGTCCTCGTCGTCTCGTGGAAGGGCAGATTCATTTTGAGGAGCCTCTGGTTGCTCATGATTCGGTCGTTCGACTTGAGACCCACCTCCAGTCTGATTCATTTGTCGTGAAGGCCCAGCTTCATTCTCCTGCATATTTCGTGAGCGTTTGTTTGACGTACTTGATTCACTAAGGTTTTTTCTTTTCCCATCATGCATATGACGCTTATGCCTCGAAAGGTTCGGTCGATGCTTGTAAACCTTGTCACACTCATCGCAATGGTATCCTGTAATAGAACCATAAAATTAATGTTGAGATCTATACTCTTCCTTCTGATATTAACATCAATCTGTCAGATAACCTACCAATATTATTTCGAATTAAAGAGTCAATCCTTCGCCAATTGTCATTTGTTAGATCTTCAAATGGCTCATCTAAAAGAAACCAAACGACAGGTTGTTAAAACTTATTACAATTTGGTTAGTAAACGGGTTGTATATATACTTCACTCAATTACCTTGGATAGCACATTCTATAATCGCATCACACTCCAGGCGTTCAAGCTCACTCGCACTTAAGGAATCGAGTATACTCTCCAATTCTGTGTAAATATTCTGTTCCATCAGCAACGAGAAGGCCAGGACATCATGGCCAGAACATCCAAAGATGAGAAAACGCTGCTAATACTGCTTGTTTTATAGTGTCGCACAAACACGTTTTGTCATTAACTTCAATTGTGCCTATGCGCACGCGGGCGGTTGCCTTGTTGCGACCCTTAATTTGCTTTATTACTCCGGCGTCAGCGACGGAGTTGAAAATTCGCCTAGGTTTTGTTTTGTTTTTGTTTTTTTTTTTATTATTTTTCGTCGTCGCAAGTCTGAAATGGCGCGAACCATTCTAGTATTTGAAATGTGTATGTAACCGTATTTATCTACGTCCCAGTCTTATCTTCTAAGAGTTGTGGTGTACAGCTTTGGCTAATTTTCCGATGCGCGATTCGATTTCGCTCGCATGATACGGCAATTCCTCCAAGAGGAACAAATAAACCGTTCTTTTCATGCTGTTCGATTAAGTTTAGATTGAATTGGGGTAAGAATATATTTAATACATGTAGATTCTGTCCCTATTTTAATAATATCGCTGCTATTTCGCCGTTTAATAAGATGATGTAGTCGTGTATGGGCGCGTTGACACGTCGTAGTTTGCACAGGATTGAAGATTTAATATAACTGTATAAGCGCCTATTCCAAAAGCAAAGTGTAAGACAAAGCGAATGTATCATGCGGTTTATTTACATTTTTGAACAATTGAACTTCTACACTTTTTAAAGTACGATGTGCTTCTAAATTTCGCAATCGAACATTTATAGGTTCGCAACTCGCATGGCATCTAAATGCGAATATGAACTGTATTGTTTATGTTCAGAAGCTCTATATTAAAGACTGGCACGTGCGCCGGAGTTAACGCCAGATCAGGCGTCTTGTTGTAATTTAAGCGCTCCATAAACGATTATATAATCGCTTTTTTCTTTTTTTTTTTCCGCACCGCATGTCAGCAACGACCGCTAATTTGTTACATTGTAATTAAATTAATCGCTTTTCGCAACGCGTATCGCGTTTGACTTGACCATGCACAACTGCAAATCATTTTCGCGAGTTTCAATATATCACCCGTACGATGTCGCCCAAATGAATTAATAAATATCATCTAAAGATAACTAGGAAATCAAGCTATGGTTCAGGGGTCTGGTCATGCTCCGAGATTTTAAAACATTTAGACCACAAATTGTGTGTGTGTGTGTGAAAAAATATTTATTGACAGCATATTAATAAGTTAGCTATTACACAACATATTATCTATATCATGTCTTCTAAAAGTTTGTTTGACTCACAACAATGCACTTTTAAATTTCATTAGGAACATATATCTATATCAAGTCTTCTAAAAGTTTGTTTTCCACTGTAATTTTCTTCACGGGCGAAAATTCCGACTTCTCAGGTTCTGTGGCAGGAGTTTTTTCAAACAAGTGAGTTTTGAAAAGTTGAAGACGTTCAGGGTTGCGTATTAGATCTTCTGGAACGTTAATTTCACTCAGTGCTTTCGTAAAAACTTCGTATTCATTTGGCTTATTATTTTTTCGGTACTTGAACGAATCACTTAAAAGATTAGTAATATTTGTCTTTGGCAACGTTTCTCCGTTATATTTTAGCTCTCCCCGAGCGGTCCAGCTTAAAACATTAGGATTATTCTCAATTCATCGTGAAATCATTCTAGCTTTAGATTGTATTGTTTTTGGTAAAACTTCTACAATTTCTCCCACAGTCATTTTGCCTTTGCTTTGTCAGCAACAGCATTAATTGGATCCACGGCTTCAACCGTCGCGTCTTTTGATGTTTCGGAAAGCTTCACTGTAATTGGTTCAGCCCTTTCATCGGCCCGTTTCGACTTGTAATGTAGGAAGTTCTGCGAAGCTTGACTGTAAAGCTTTGCCCTCTCCTTTTGTGTCGTGTCATTTTTTTCTTTTTCATTTCGTCGTCTAACTGGGTCATTTTCTTAACAGTCGGTGGGGTTATTTGATTTTGCTGTTTCAAGAAATTATCAAAAGTATTCTGCGGAACCATGATCATTTTATTTGAATGCTTCATAATCTCACTCAATTAATGACGCTAGCTCTTTCAAAACGGGTTCAAGTATCGCAGTCAAAAAGCCTTCACCCTTTTGCGTTAATGTCTGTCGCTTCCTTTTCAGAGATGTTCTTTTGTCGGCCAACAACCTTAAATGATTTTTATATTTTGCCAGCTTTCTTTTTTGAGGCGGTGTTAGCTTAACCACGCTTGTTAAAATATTCAACACACAGTCACAAACCGTTGGTTCTGCGTGTTTTAAAATCACTTTGCGTAGCTTAGGCTTTCCTTTTTGTAAAACCTTTAGCAAATGAAGGTTCTTTCTCATGTGGACAGACATAGTGAAATGACTTGAGTTTTGGAAAATACCCCCTTTTTATCACTTTCGTACATAAACAATCTGCCAATCATCAGGAAATATTTTTGAACGTAGCCTATATTTATCGTCTGTTTGCGGGTGTAAGTCTATAGACAAGTACGAATAGGCATTTTCCGTGGCGTCTTTATAAGCCTCAATTAAGTACTGACCGCAGCCAGGATACATTTGTCGAGCAAGTGTCGAAATAACGGTTTGATCCCTTGGACTCTTGAACACCACCATGTAGTGACAATTGAGCGAGCATAGGTGGGAAAATTTGCCTTTATTATACAAAGCTTGCTGTAAAAATATGACGGATATTGATCTATGATGACTGCCTTTTGTAAATAAGTTTGCCAATTCTAAGTTATCAAGTAGCTCGTTTTGAAGATCGTCAATTACCATTACGGTATGAAATGACGGATCAGTCATGCTTTTGATATCTGGAAAACCTTCGAAGAATTGTATTTTCGGATTGTTTTGCCGGATTTCATTAAAAATAGGCTCAGTGGCATTCTCCGTAACAATACAGGATTTGATCAACTTTTCGGTCAATCATCTTATCTATATTTTCAAGAAACTTTTTAACCCAAACTGTTTTGCCCGACCCAGACGGTCCAGAAATCTGCAGGCAAAAACAAGCCTTAAGTCTAGGGTCCATGGTAGTCTAAAACAAAATGAATACATGTCTGCCCTGCTTAAGCATTTGACGCTTCGAGCATACACGCTTTCGGACAAAGTCGAAAGATGACAATGTATTTATTCATTAGGTTAATTAACGACCGATTAACCACGTGCGATTTTTAATTCCCGCGCCTATACAACCTAGTCGCTTTGAGAAAGGGTGGGGTATAAAGCGGAGTGAATTGCAATACGTTTCAAACAGTCAGTCAGGAATCAGAATGAAGTTACAAAACATTGTCGGAATTGTGGACATGGATGGATTCTACCTGGAGTCTCAGAAGAAATTTTTATGTAAAGAGCTTGGTGTGATTGAAGTGGGAAAAGTGACAGCCAAGTCCTTCTTTTTTGACATTGGCGTTCATGGACCTCGCTAACAGCAAAAGAGAGGCGAACGTGCAATTACGTGCAAAAGCAAATTCACAAGTTGCCATTCGGAGTGCCGAGGGGCACCAAAGCCTTTCCGATTTCGGACTTGAAGGCAATTGTAGAGGATTTCTACCATATGCGGAATAAACCAGGAACTGCTCATTCACGGCGTAATATTTACTTCTAATGAGAGATATTCCTTGGGCATGGCATTGATACGCGTTTTTAGACTTTTCCCATGAATTTTGCGATCTCCAAAGAGCCTGAATTCGCGAATTATTAGAAGCACACATCTCAATACTGTCTTTGTTAAGTCGATAATCGTTGTAATGATAAATATTGCTTTTGTAAGACAACGAAAAGCTCTTCGAAACCTTGTATTCTTCCCCGTACTTTACTCTGACCAAATTATCGTTGCAGGATAGACTGAGCTTCGCCGAACAAATTACAAAATATCCAAGAATTACTCCGTAATCGTGCCTTGTAAAATTTTGCCCAGTAAGTTTAAAGAAAACAGTTAAATTTTTATACACTTTGTAACCACTTTGTGGGAGGAAACCATCGACGGATACTCTGCAATGTTTGTAAGCCATCTTCTTCTTTTCCATGATAATCAAATTCTGCCATCTTGGTTGAATAAGAGGGTTGGAGGAATTACAAACCTGTAGTTCATCGTCCATTACTCTGTACTTGTCATAATCGTACGTTTGCCCTTGGTACATGATTGAGAAGTTATTCCACACTGTGTAATCATCTTCATAATTTATAGTAAATGTAGAGTTCGTGCATTCGCTGGAACCAGACTTGCTACTTGAGATCGCATCAATATCGCGTTTGTTCCGAGTGTGTTGCGTTGTCTGTGAAACGAATTTTTCTCTTTTTCCTTTTCCTCTGAAACCCTTTCTAAATTTCGTGTGACTTAAAAAAGAGATGTTACTTGATTCTCTTCTTGGATAATTCAAATTAGGCGGTGATGAAGTTGACAAATACACGTTTGATCTCTTCCGTTTTTCAATACCTTGTTGTGTTTTTGTCACAATATCTTAAAGATAAATTACGCAGTTAAAATTGTTGGAAACTTTTAATTGAAAATGATCTCGTATTTTAGAATTCACCTTTACCTCGAATCGTCGCAAGATCCGTTTTATCCACTGTCTCGTCGGTATCAACTCGGTCAATATTTTCTCTAAAGTCTAGGATCCATTCACCTTGTTCGCTTGAAACTGTGCTTTTTAAGGGTCTGTTTGTCAACTCTTCATTTAATCTTCTCGCTTTGATCTCTCGCGTGATGCGGCCTGAACCACAATCACCAGGATAGATACAGAAAAAAGACGAACAGAGAAAGATGAGAAAGACTCGACAAATAAATCGAAGAATAAAGCCACGATTACGATGCATGTTGCAGCTGCAAGTATTGTTAAACAACTGAATACTATTTAATGAGAAGGAATTTAAAAACGGCCTTTTCTGTTTGAGTTTATTGTTTTTTTAAAGCAACACCACTTATATCAACACTCGAAACCAACTAT